CAGTTTGTTTGCTTCAGTAAAATTAAACATCTCTAACATATTTTATTAATGCTGAATAAACTTGTATTAGAGAAAAATATGTTTGTGTAACCAGTTCTGTATACATTTAATTTCCTGTGTCACAGTAATTCATTATCTGATTTCTGATTTCCAAGAACAGGCATCTTAACAGAGGTTTTGCAATTTTCTTTGCCTTCTCATCTTGTATTGTTAATGCTGCAGAAGAGACAAGCCTGGAAGTGGAGCTTTTACAATAAATATTAGTCAAAGATATGCAAATATTAGTCAAACATATGCTAACAGATATGCATGCTAATTCCATAACTACACTTATGGTAGCATAGGAAATATTTTCCATATTAAAAAAAACACAAGGTTCTGCTATTCACTTCTAAACTGTCAATATGGTTTCTTGGACCAAATTCAAATATTTCACTTTCCTGCAACAAAGCACTCCTAGAAGTCACTCCTTGTAAAACAAGGAGATACTTAAAATTGTTTTCTTTTTCTTAATTTTAGCAGGATTATGGCAAATTCACCCAATATTTCAGTCCTGTTTGTCCCCTTTTTTTTTAATATTGGTCCAACTTCCAGGATGCCTTGGCGACAGCCTGTGGAGGCTGTCAGGATTAGGGAAGAGAGGGGAAGGCGCAACTACAGTCTGATTAAGGAGGATCTCTAGCTGCGCAGCCCCACATTCATGCCTTCCGCTCCTCTGCTCAGGTTGACTGACTTCTTTTGTTAGCCAAAGGAACTGAGCACCTCTGAGGCTGCAATATAAGACTACTTCTTACAGAGATTCACTGCCAACTCCCATACCTCTTGTACTGCAGACTGAAGTATTTTTTGAAGGCAGCTGAGCCACAATTGTCAATGTTCCCAGCACCACCCAAAGTTGGGTGTGTAAGTGTCTCTTTTCCTTCTGAAATTGGTCTGGTCTAGTATAGCAAGGGAGCTAGAACCCAAAACGATACGGTGAGAGGAACAAATAACTTGGGACTCAAACTTTTATCTGGAGGGCTAGGGTTTGTCCACCATGCCTCTCTAACCTGGGAGTACTCCAGGTATATTGAGAATGTGGCATTCACTCCCAGCTAGCATGACCATTATTATTTCCAAAAGACACCAAGGTGGGAAAGGTTAGTTTGTGGAGAAGGAGCTATATGGGGAACCAAGAAGCTCCACACCTTGAAAAGTTTACTTTCTGCCAAAGCTAGGGATTCAAGCATGATTCCAAAGAAAAGAAATTAAGTTGGTATCGAAGTGTTTAAGATAATGAGCTGAGTTTCTTCTTTGCAACTCTTTTCTCTGGCCATGATGATCCAATAATTGTGAGTACCATAATATCAATATAAAATACAGTGTTGCATTCATCATCTGCAAGTGTAGTTATAATTAAGTCATTTACATTCCTATCTATATTGGCATATGGATAGCAGTATAATAAAATGATTTGGATTACCTGTTTACATGTAACTATGTAAGTTATAGCATTTAATGTGGAAAATACTTCATGTAGTAGGCATATACAAGGAGAAAGTTACTGCTGCAGAGTTTAAGGAATCTGTAGGTTGTCTTCACCTTGTATCTGCTTACAGGGAGAGCTTAATTAATTAAGGCCCAGGGAAACAAAGACATTCTCCCTGGGTTTTGTCCCTAGACTGCAGTTTCCTGTTTTGGCAGCCATATGGTAGAACTGAGACATTTTGTAACTGCAAGCAACATGATAGTAGCTGTTGCCCTGCATCTTATAAACTCATTTTCCAGAGTAGACAAAGAAGCAATGACATATGTGGAGGCTTGGATTTTTCTAATAACTACCTTCTTGTGTATCAACAGTTTGAATTTTATTCTTTATAATATTGTGTCACAGAAAAATGGTCATATCAATTCTCAGATGCTCCTCCCACTAGAAGTAGCAGCAGTTCTTATATCTTGATTGTTGATGAAGAAGAGTACTCCTGAATATTTTATGTATTTCAAATACATTTAGAATATATGTTTATAATGGCCACATTCATAAACAAGCAACTTATGTTCAAGATTTGGGTTGTTCTTGGGATAGATCTGAATATAACCACGGGAAAAATAAGCTACATTATAGCAACAGCACTTAGATTTATATACCGCTTCACGGTGTTTTACAGCCCTCTCTAAGTGGTTTACAGAGTCAGCCTATTGTCCCCAACAATCTGGGTCCTCATTTTACCGACCTTGGAAGGATGGAAGGCTGAGTCAACCTTGAGCCAGTGAGAATCAAACTGCCCAACTGCTTGCAACAGCAGTCAGCAGAAGTAGCCTGCCATTCTAACCACTGTTCCACCTTGGCTCTTCTTTTAATTTACATTATATGCACAATCTTTTACTATGTAAAATCTTTCTCAGTTTGAATTTGAATGTTGGTAACCCAGTAGAAAACTCCTTGTTGATGTTTTGAGCCAAACATCATCAGACAACCTTCTTGCCTAGCAGTGTGTGGAATGGAGGATGGAATTATGCCCTGAAGCACTATGGCCGTGGTGGCGAACCTTTTTCGGCTCCCGTGCCAATAATTGTGTGCACACCCACTTGCGCACACTCGTGTGCCAGCACCCAGAAGGCAATGCATGCTGGAGGCCCCCACACCCCCTGTGCATGCGTACATGACCCCCCTCGTGCACCGCGCATCTGCGCGTGACTCCCTCCTCGCGTTCCACATGCATACCCCTCTGCCCTCTGTGCATGCACGCAAGATACCTGTCAATCAGCTGTCGGATGGCAGTGCATGTGCGCATGTGCAGTGGGGGCTCTTCTGGGCAACCTCTCATGTGCCGGGGAAAATGGCTCTGCGTGCCACTTCCGGCACGCATGGCATAGATTCGCCAACACAGCACTATGGTATGCAAGCTTATTGAATTAATCCAGATCCAGGTTGCTCAACATATAAGGAATCAAGCTAATCAGATTTTGGTCAGAAAAAAATAGAACCAATACCACGTTTCCCCGAAAATAAAACCCTGTCTTATATATTTTTTGCCACCAAAAAGGCACTAGGTCTTATTTCGGGGGATGTCATCCACTGACTAACCTCACTTACATGTGTCACCCCCAGCCTCCTTCTTGCTGTCAGAGGCCTTCAGGAAGTTCTTCTTCTGCAGCCTGCAAGTCTTTCATGGAGGCCCCTGCAGCCAATAACAGAGCTCTGGATCGATCCGGAATTTTGTTATCAGCTACAGGGGCCTTCAGGAAAGCCTTGCCAGCCTTGCCAGCTGCAGAAAAAATGGGCTGGCAAGGCAGGTGTCGGGATGTGCGAGGCCTGGCTGCAACTGTCCAAAGGTAAGTAGTAGGGCAGCTCCACACACACCTCATCCCCACCCTATCTTAATTTTGACCTGTGCACCCTGGAGTGGGCGGGATCTTAATTAGGGCTTATTTTGGGGATGAGGCTTATATTGGATGCATGTGTAAAAATCTAGCTAGGACATACTTTCAGGGTAGGTCATATTTTGGGGGAAATGGTATTAACATGAAGTAAGTTTAGTATTTGTTCCAGTATTTGATCATCTGACCAAATTAAGTGTGTTATGTGAACAGAGAGATTTGGCTGTTAGCACCACAAGTCTAAGCCTATTCACTAGTATGGCATTGTGCATATTTGTTACATAATCCAATGTGATACTTTCAAGACTTCTTCTGATGAGGTGGGAAAAAAATATGTTTAAAGTTTTTGAAAATCAGGCTAGTTTACAAAACACGATACTAGGGGTAATTTGAGTTGGTAAAACATCTCTTTTGTAATACTTTGGGACTTTTTATTCTAGCATGACGCCTTTCCTGGAGTTACTTAATAATCTCATCCATTTCATTGTGTGCTTTCACATAAATAGCCTCTTTCAATTATCCTAGCAACTACAGTACATCATGTGAAAGTGGATAAAATGGCAAGAAGCTACAGCGGACTGCCAATCACTGATATTTGTAAATTATACTTAATGGCCATGTTTTTTGCGTACTTTTTAATTATTTCATATGAATTTTCTCTCAATTTTCTAGTTTCTAAGTAACTCAGATGAATCACTCTAAAAGCAGAATTTACTGTAATATAAATTCAATTTATATTATAACAGCTTGGGTCCTGGAGTTGTGGGTGCACCATCAGTGAGGTTTCCAAGAAAATATTGGAGAACTGTTTGTCTGGGATGATATAAGGGCACCTGCCATAGGCAGGGGGGTTAGTCCAGAAGACCTCCAAGCAGGGGTGGGATTCAAATTTTTTAACAACTGGTTCTTTGGGCATGGCTAAGTTGGTGGGCATGGCTTGGTGGTCATGTTATTGGTTGGGTGTGGCCAACTCAATATCACTCACATCGAGCCACGCATCTCCTCGCCTGGCCTCTCATGACTGTGGGGATGCTGCAACAGTCGTAAGTGTGAAAAATGGTCATAAGTCACTTTATTCAGTGCCATTGTAACTTTGAATGGTCACTCCACACAAGCAAAGTACCAGCAAAGGAGGGGAAAAAAACTCCAGAGACATTCCTGAGACAGGAAGTCTAGTCCTGCCAAGAATGTAATAAGGGTTAACGGAGAGGCAGTTACAACACCAGAATGTAAGGAATGTCTTCCCTATAGGATTAGGCCAGTAAAGTAGAAAAAAACAAAAGATTTCTTCTAACAACCAGTTCTCCAAACTGCTTAGAATGTTAACAATCGGGTCTAGTGAATAGGTGCGAACTGGTAGAACCCCACCCCTGCCTCCAAGGTCCCTCCCAGCCCTAGGATTCTATTATTCAATTTAAGTTATATTTAGTTGTATCCTGTCCCTTCTATTTCTTGTAAATCTACTTTAAAAGTGTGATCCATGGCATGCTATTCAAACTTCAGATACATTTATTGAATCACAAAAGAATACATACTCTGGTGTATACAGTGATACCACTTCAGATATATTCTACATATAAAATCTGACCAAGTATTACAATAGCAATGCCCCAAAAGTAGATGATGAGGTTTCTCTGAACAACCTTCCTTGGCACATCAAGAACATCAACTCTTAGTTTCCCTGTCAAACATAATATCTTGGAAATAGAAGCTTTTCTTCAGCTTTTTTTATTATTGAAAAAATTACAAAGGAGAGGGGGGAAATTATAACAGCAGTGTCACAATGCAAGCTCCACCCCTGTGTGCAGGTATTGTGATATCACATGCATATAAAAAGGGGGGCAGATGTTAACAATGTGTCCAATCTTGTAGATGCCTCCAATTACCGTACAACAAAGGTAGGGATGTCAGTTTAGATTCATAGTGTCAACTGAATTAAGAACTTTTTAGCTATGCAACTTTATGTGCAATAAAATGCAACATCAGTTACTTTGCATTCCAGCTTTAATGTGCCTACCAAACATAACACTCAAACCTATTTATAAAAACAGTTGTGGAGTCCTGGGGGCTCTCCGTGTAACATCAGTTTTAGTGAATGGGATTTGCTCACCCAAAGAACACCAAAGAGTTAACAGTTCAACTCTGAGCTACATTTATTCTCTTCCATTATTATTCAATTGTCATTCAATTTACAGTTTTATCCCATTGTTACAGGATACTGTTCTTGCTAGCAGGATTATTATAGCAGGGAAAAGGCATTCAAAAATGACATTTTCTCACTGAGATAAATTGTGCAAATCTCTCTTTCTTTTTCCTGTCATACCAGCCAGTGGCACTTGAAATGTCACAAACTTGTGCAAACATCAGAGGTTGGTACTCAGTAATATTGTTAATAAGTGTCATAGTTATCTTGCTTCTGCCAAGCTCTGCATCACTTTATGAATGTTTTTTTTTTTCCTGATTGTTGAAAAATTGTTTTCCCCAGTCTGGCTTTCTCCAGATATTTTAGAACAATAACTAGAACTCCCAATCCATTCCAAACACAAAAATCTTGTCTTGTTAGAAAAGGTTATTTTAAATATGGAGCAATTCTCATCACATTAATCTGTATGGCTTTAAAAACCAGTTGTCTCTAAATCTGTTTCTCCTAAAGAACTTCAAACAGTTGTCCCGCTGCTATAGAAAAATCATTGGTTGTATCATAAGGGGCACTCGCCAGGCATGAATCCCTGAAGTTAGACGGATAAATAGCTAGCCTTTTAAATACATTCTAAAGCAGGGGTGTCAAACTCAATTTCATTGGACTGTGGTTCACCTTGGGCGGTTGGGCAGGTGTGGCCAACTGGGTGTACGTGGCCAGCTTGATGCCAGTCACTGGGAATGGCCAGCTTGACACCACTCCCTAAACTGCTGGCATGTTTCCTCTTTTTGCATTAGGTGGACTGGGCCAAAGCCACACTGGCCCAATGTTTCCTCTTTGCATTGGGTAGGCCGGGCCGAAGTGATGTGGGCCGGCCCCTTATATTTTCCAGGACAGCCCCACAGCCTGAATCTTACCACATCGTGGGCTGGATCCAGCTCACAGGCCTTGTTTGACACCCCTGTTCTAAAAAATATATGCATTCTTTGACATAATGCACTGTCCCAGTATCCTTTCTACAGAATTAATCTGTTCAGAGATAGCAATGTCCTTATTTTTTCTAATTCACGTGGTGTCATGTTATATGTTCAAATTCAGTGGCGTGATACAACCGGCATAACCAGTTCAGTGATCGTGCGCTTCGCTATTGCTATTACTAATCCCAAACTTTGGGTAAACACATCATGGTAAATCAGGCTCAAACAATAATATGTAAAGGGGAAAAGGCACTCTGGAACCTGTTGTCCAATTCCAGTTAAACATGAGTATAATTACAGGAGTTGCCAATCAGAGCTACACGTGCATTCACCTGCACTTCAGACATCTTTATCCCTTTGACTGCCAAATTTACCAGTTAGTCATGGAATGGGAACTACCAAGCAGAAATCTCAAAAGTTGCAGGCTGGAGTGAGAAGCTGAATAAAAGGCTGGGGGGGGGGGGGGGACTTCCCGGGTGGGAGGGTTTCATATTCTATAGCTCCCCCCAGGAAGTCTTTTCCTTAAGCCCCACTGATTTCAATCCTATTGGAGCAAATGCGAGAGCTGGGGTGGGGGGAAGAGATGAGCGAAGAGCTCTGGGGGCGGGAGAGACGCAACTTCTGGGAGATAGTTCAGTGTCACAGGAGAGGAGGCAGCGGGACGGGTCAGAAGGCTCCTTAGGAAGGAATAGCCCCACCGCCTTTCCCCACACATTCGAGGAAAGAGGGAGAAGAAACGGTCATCAGTGGGGCTGCTCTTTTAGTAACCGCTCTGGAAGCCTGTTGGGAAAGCTGCTCTAAAGTTGGCGGAGAGGCAAGAGGAGCCGGAGTCTGGTGCCGGAGCGAAGTGGGCCCACAGGCGGGCGGAGCTGAACGAGCTGCGGGGATGTCTCAATCAAAGCAAGAAGAAGCGGCGGAACGCGGGGGAGCCTCGAAACTGGGTGCCGCGTTTCGATCGAGCTTTTTCTTTTTCGTCAGGCCGGGCAAGGCTGCGCGCGGAGGTTTCGCCATCGGCCAACGGGAACGTTTCCCTTCAAACGTTCCCTAAGTGGATTATAGCCCGCTCTGGTGGGCTGCGCGTCGCGGGAAACGGCCGAGGCTAAAGTGGAAGTCGCCCTCTCGGTCTCTCGCCGAGAACGAAGTGAATGAGGAAAACGGGAGTCAAAGGCTCGCAAGGCGAAGTTCGGCGTTTCCCTCGGAGGCTGGAGTTCAAGGAAAGAGAAAGAGAGAGAGAGAGAGAGAGACCGACCGGCGGAAAGAGAACTGCTGCGTCGCGGCTGAGCAATCGGCGTGGGCATGACGGCTTAACTAGGAAACTAAGGCTGGGCTCGGAAGAGACGGCCGTTTCGATCCCGAGCTTCTCCCACAGTTGCAGGTTAGGCCGCTCTCTATTCTGCCCCCCGAAGTGCCCATAAATCTCGCGGGCCTTTTCGCTATTTTCTCTTCCAGGCTCTGGGCACGTGTCTGTGTTGAGATAGCATCCAATTAAAAGGGAGGCGCGTTAAGGCGAGGTCTGCGTTTCTCGGACAAAGGTCAGCTTGCGTCGGGGTTGGGCTCCTTAAAAGACCGGAGAGGCGTTTTCTTCTGTCGGGAGCAAAGGATTTGAGGTGGAGTTGCTGGGAAGTTTCCCGAAAGGGTGCTGAGGAAACCGCCTCTTTTCGGATTGCTCATTGCGCGAAGCGGGAGGGATGGATGCGGCGCTCCGGTTTGTGCTGAGGGAAGTTAACTAAATTCAGTAGCGGTTTCTCCAAGTAAGTGGTCATTTGAATTACTTTAGGTTTCCCGGCTCTACTACTTTTCCAAAACCTCGGAAAAGCTCCAAAATATACGACCTGTTTCTAAATACGTTAGCTTCCCTTCAACAGTTGCTCTCTCAGACTTAAAAATACCTGCTGTGGGGGCAGAGCATTTGTTTATCACGAATTGTTTAAGCTTTCATCTGGGAGCCTGGCTCATCAGAGTTACTTTTCTGACACATGCTTATTCACACCTCTAAGGATTGCAAGAGCAAGTAACTGTTGCTTGGCAGAGATGTCCAGCTGCCTTGATTTATATGGTTTCAGTGGACCTGTTAACAAAGTCCATCCAGGGGGCTTGCTTGTTGCCAGGATCTACTGTTGACTCTGAATGTTGACAGGTGTCATTCAGTGAGTCTGATCAAGTGCTTCGGGATAGATCTCCTGATAGTGACATTGATGCTTCTGTGGTGGCTCATTTTGAGAAGCTTATTCAGACAGAGCTTATTAAAAACCGATCTCAAGGAAGCAGTTAAACACATTGATATGCAAGTTGATTTGAGCAGGAGGAACTTTTATGATACATAAAGCCACTCTCTCTACCATTGGACTGCTTCTGGAAATTAATAGAAGTGCAAAATCCCTTTTAAAAGATAAAAAGAGGCTGGGTATATAGGGCCAGTTAACTATACCTCCAGAGGTATTAGAAGAAATATCCTTCTGGGTTCAGTTTAGGGGTGGGTTTCTCCCAGTTCTGTCCACCTCTGTAGAACCAGTAGCTTTGAAGAGCAGCAGACATAGAATCGGTTCTATGTCTGCTGATATTTTTGCCCACCTGCCCAAACAGGCTCTTTCCTGATCTTTATTTCCTGATTTTTCAACTTCAGCTGCTGAATGAAGCACAGCTGCAGTTATAAAAACAAGAAAAGAAGGCTGTTTCAAAGGCTGCTTCTCTGCAGGCAGCTGCTGCTGATGATTTATAGGCTCACAGCCTGCAGGGAAGCTCGTAACTCCCAAACCAGTAGTTAACCCTGTTGTATCCCACCCCTGGTTCAGTTCCAAGTGGGGAAAAAGACACTGGAAATATGGAGGCTGTTTGAAAGGTTGTTTAATGGTGGACAGCAGGACCACATGGCTTGAAGCTCCAAAGGATGATCACATGCTCCAAGGTGAAGGAAAAGAAAAGAAAAAGGCTGAGGTGCTAAGAGTGCCTGGGTTTTATAACCTTTGTTGGGATTTGAATTGGAGCTTGTATTCTGATTGGTTGTCAGACTCCCATGAGGCTGTGCAGGGGCAACTCTGTAGGCTGTCCTGAGTTCCAGGCTTGGTTGGGCCTTGCTGGAAGATGATGCACTGAAAGGGCTTTTGGCAATTGCTATAGCTTTACCTGGAGATCTTTGTTATGTAAAATATTCTGGCCCAGGCCTTAATGCCCCCCCCCCATTAACAAAGGTGGGGGTGAGCTTCTGCTTCTGAGGTGAGTTTCTGCTCTTGAGTTTCTACTCTTTTTAGAGGAAATATTCTGCCTTTTTAATATTTCCCAGGATATTTCATTTTTCTAGGAGAGGGGTGGGTGCTAACTTCCTACAGAGGTAAGGATATAGCCAAATTCTGGCTTATATCAACAAGCAGTGGACCCCAAAACTGCATGTCATATTCCAGTAGAACTCTGGGAGCTCTTTTCCAAATTTTATATGCTTGTTCTCAGTAATAGCTTGTACCCAATCTAGTAGTCAACTCTCAATCCAACTGACTTTCTGTATGTACTGCAGAAATCGAGAAATCAACCAAATGAAAGGGCTTAAAATTTCCAGTAGCAATCTTATTTCAGCTGAAATGCTTAAATGTTAATGTGAGGGAAACCATTCTGGCGCTGCTATTCCCCTTTATTGTAAAAACAGTTTATTTTTTAAGTGATTGGAGCATAAGCAGACTTTATTTGTGTCAATATAATAAAGTGTTCAGTAAACGTAAGAACTCCACAATTGACAAAGTTATTCAAAAATAAAATGTTGAAGAAAAAGTTAATATCAAGTACAGGAAATCAGGTAGTTCAAATAAATATAGCTTTATTGCATGCTAATGCTCTCTACAAGAACTTGAACTACTAAAGGTCAAAGTATATTTGCAGTAGATAAGAGTCAAGAAAATTCAAGGTGGGGCTGGACTTGGATCTCCTGTGGGTGCAAAGGAGCTTGAGACTGTTTGACTCCTTCCTTGGGCTCAGCCTGGTCATCTCCTGTGGTTTAATGCCAATGGTCAACTTTTTAGCCCCACTGGAAATCTTTTTAACCTAGTGATACTATCATATTCTCTATTTGGCTTTAGGAGAACCTGAAGATTCAGTATTGCTTTCAGAGCTTAGCCTGTAATTAAATAATTAAAGCTGAAGATTATGGTAACTAGGGATATACAAGCAGTAGTGTCAATGAACAGACTAATTGCTGTAAATAAAAATAGGTGCTGACTGGCTGCTGGATTTCACTGCCTGAAGACTAGTACATTTGTCCTAAGATTTTTTTTTTTAATAAAGTTTTATTTGGGTTTTCACACATACAAAATACAAATAAAACATCTTTTTTAAAAATAGCATGGTCCCGGTTTGAACTTCTTTATACAGACACAAAACTCAATTTCATGCCCCTTTTTGTGTTCTATTCCATATCTTATACTATTCTACATTTTCTATATAATTTTTCCCCTCTTTTAATTTTCTCAATTTTATTTTGATTATCTCATCTCAATTCAAATCATATTTATACTTTTGTCTGTTCTGTTTCAATTTCATATTATCTTTTCTCATTAAACAAATTTTCTCCTGTAGTTACTAATTGGAGTATGACACCTTTATATCTTTTAATTACATCCATTCAACTCTTATTTAAACTTCAATATATACCTTAAGGTTATGACCTTCAATATAATACATAACTTCCAATCAAATTCTGCTTGGTACATTCCTATAATACACACTATATTCTTTTTTAAAAAAAGATTATAAATATATGTAATTATAAACCCTCATTCCATTCCAATTCAGTTCTATCATTAATAATCATTAAAATCTTAACATCTTCAAGACTTCTTTTCAATTAAATATACTT